ACGCTCCGCCGGCGGCAGCCGCAAGAGCACCCGCGGGGCGTTCCCGGGGCCGGCCCGGGGTGGGCGGCCCGGCGGCAACACACATCTGTGTATGCAGAGATGCCCACGGCTGTGTCTCGCTTCCCTTGGCCATCGCTCCCGCATCCTGGGGCTGATGCAGCTGGGAAACGGGTGGGATTCTCAGAACCCAACAGCATACAAAAGCAGCATCGAGAGCAATGTTTCCTACCTGCAGCTCCGAGCAGAGCGGCGGTCTGTTGTGGAGAGCTGCCCGATTATCGACTTGGAGAGACCCGGAGAGCCCGCAGAGGAGCGCTGGCCTGGGGCTCGGGCTCGGAGGCGAATCGGGAACGGTTCTGGGTCTGAACAGGGAGAAGGATGTTGGCAGAAATTCAAGGAGCCTCGTAGCTACTTAAATGTGAACCGATCGGTAATGCACTTCTGGCCGGACTGTCCTCTGTGCCCGATATTTGTAAAAAAAGGTCGTACCTACTTATAAATCTTAACTGATTTTCAGAGTTCAAAAAGTACACTTTTGAAGCAGCTTGGGTAAGATTCTGTTCCTTTAGCATGTTCATTTAAACTTTGTAGACTAGACACATCTAATATTTGATTTGTCCAAATTGTTTCATTGCGAGACAAGTCTAATAGATTTAGAAATTATACCAAATTCTTGATGTGTGCCCCTTCAGAATTGCTGGAGTAGCATTGTGGTACACAGCCAAATGCAGTCAGTTATAGTCCTAAACAGAAGCATCACGCTATGTTCTTATGAAAATCAGATATGAACAGTAATGTGCGTAAACACTGTGCTCTAACTTTATGCCAGGCAGTCATGCAGTCTTTTCACGTCTTTTACATTTGCTTTTCTGCTTTTTCATACCTCTAGTGATTCTTTTTGGAGCACCAGTCTTTGTGGTGACAGAAATGACAGTGCCACCTCTCTAGACTAGGGAAGGGGTGATAGTACAGCAACCAACTGATGTTTGCAAAGTCTGTCTTGGCAGCTTCTCACCTGCAGAAGGTGCACAATAAGGCAAAGTTTGGGAGATGTTTGCTGTTGGTTTTAGTTACTCCTTGTTATATTTGGGAAACAGCCAGGGAAGATGAGCAGTCACTGCCACTCCTTTTCTTGGAGATTAAGAGCTTACAAGTAGCACTGCATCCCAAGAGTCCCAGCCTCAGATGGCAAAGCTACACAGAGTACATGTGACTCCATTCCCTGGCACTGAGCCAAATTGGGACTCCATCATACCTATCAATACTCATCAGCTCTCTTATTCTCCAAAACAAGATGGTTACATCCCAACTTCCTATCAGGTATAGTCCATGCTAACCCCCAAACGGCACTGCAAACTGGTCAAGAGTACACCGTAGCCAGAGCAAAACCATACCATGGTCAACTTGAAGGTAGAGACTATCAGTTTCCAGTCCCAAGAACATTTTCTGGTACTGTTTAATTCATTACTGTGAATGTAGCCCAAAAGTTCATTAGTGAAAATGCTTGCAAATGTCATAGATTTTGCCCAGTTGTGCAACAATATTGTAGGCTCCCATCTTCCGTTTTTTCGCCTAGGGGTTTGCTAGTTTAAGATACTTTGGTATATGTATTTGATCTCTTCTACAAAAATGCAAATAAAGGAATTCTACAGCAGAAAGTAAGAGAATAAATAGTCATATTAGGGTAGATTCTGTCCTGAATAGATTTAGAACAGATAAGAAATGGAGAAGCAGAAATGGTTACTTCCGCTCTATAACAACATACAAGCTCCATTTCTTACATGTGGATCTATCTACCCAGAGATGTTTTCATCATTTCAGTTCCAAACAGAATATCCTATACTGTAGGTAACATGTAGAAGATTTTCATGGTTAAACATTTAGAAATCAAGTGTAGTATGTAAGGATTCAGTAAGTTCCCACTTAGCAGAAAACTTAAACACATATTAGCCCGTTCTGATATAATTTCAAGAATCGTGTCTTACCATCATCTAAACAAGGTCTTGATTTTCCAAAGTGCTCTGCAGCTGCTAATTTTCATTGTAATATACTCTCTAGTTTCCCTGAAACACTGCTTCAAATCCTACATTCTTTTATCAAACGTGGTCCTACTCTGGTGCCCGAACACTAACTACTGTACCAGAACAGGAAATAGTTTCACTGTGTGATGGCTAACAAGCCATCAAGTTAAACTAGCATTACCAGACCCAAGCTGTACACTCATCTGTCATCGTTATGAGAATTCCACTTTTACCACCTTCAGTGCTACCCAGGAACCTTATTTTTCTAATCCTTCATGGTGTCTGACAGAGCCAGTAAAGGCTGAAAAAGTTATCTACAGCACTGGCTGTGCTAACAACTATATTGTTACCCATTTCTATACAACTTGGTTTAAGTCTAGCCCAAATATATGTACAGCAGAAATCGCACCTCTGAGTTGCAGTCTAAGTATATTCTAAATGAAAATGTGTTTAAGTAAATACAAAAATCCAGAATGGTTTCTTAATGAGTACAGCAAGCAACTTCTGCCTTGGGCAATTAGAAGGACTTCAGCACATAGCAAGCTCTAGTAGTTGCATAAAGATTGGCTGGAAACACATGCACAGTAAGTCTGCTTTTCTCTAATATTACATGTAAAAAACTACTGTTGTGGTAAATGTAAAAACCTAAGCACTACAGTACTTAAAATATTGGGGGAAATCTCCACAAAAATTACAGCTGTGAGTACTAGAATGGTCAATGTCCTGTGTCTGCTTTTATCATTAGACAGTGAACTTGGATGGTCTGATACTCAACTGGATTCAACAGGCATTCCAGATTGTGGTACAAACAATGTGTTTCCATGAAATGAGGAAAATTCAGGGAAATCTGAAGAATTTCAGATTATGTGGAACATTATGTGGAAATTTGAGTCAGAAGACCACTACAGCCTCTTCCAGCATAATATTCTCTCTTCAAAAGCTTAGCCAGTTGCCTTATGCATCACTGAACTCAAGGCCTGCAGCAGAGCTCATTTAGGGGATGGATAAATCTTTTAATCAATTTCAATAGGCTTTGGATGAGGTCCTAGCAGAAACTGTGATTCAGCAGTTCATAGAACTAGGAGGGAAGCAATAGTCTGTTTTATCACTCATAGCGAGGGGACAAGAATTAAAGTGAATGCTAAAAATAAGTGGGTGGAAGATCATTTGTGGTAGTAGGAGGGCACATTCCTTGCTTGGATGTCAGCCTGAAGAATTTGTGTTTGCTGGAAAGTACTGACAGGAGCAGAGGCTATAAAGCTCTCCCAGAACACCTCTGATGCTGTTTCTGATGATGGAATGTGTCATGTTTTACACTACACTGTCAATGGGTGTGCCATGCACTGAAACTTGCCCTGAGCTATCAGGGTGGAGCTTTATGAAAATCTGGTCTGCACTACAATTCAGATTTTTTTTTCTATTAGCTGAAGACATTTCCCTTGGTGAAAAATGTTATTTATAAATTCTCTTTGAACTTGAACTGTTGCTGCACCCAGAGTGGGTAGGATTCACGTGATCAAACATGTGCAATTGTCTGTAACTGGTTATTTACATTCACTGGATGGACAGTGAAGTAGGCACTTTTCAGAACAGATCTGTATGACTCATGTGGCCTTCTAAACAAATCAGATTAAGCCTCATTTTTAAAGCACCAATTTCTATTACATTTCTAAACTGGAAATCAAGACAAGTAGTTGAAATATCTTGTTATCTCCAGAGCATGTAAAATGCATGTATATCTTAAGAGTCCTCACTGAGTGAATTGAACCTAAATAAAGACATTAATTTTTACAAGTTTTGGATCAGGCACTGTTTGAAGGTACAAGATTTTGTTCAAAAACTGGCATAAGAACAGGCAAGCTATATCCAAAAAGGAGAAAAGGCTTCCTTGTTAAAAAAGCATAGAAAAATCTTAGGATCTTGGAATTATATACTTACATTTTCATAATATTTTAATTTTAAAATATGTCTACACTTTTTAAACATACCTATAAAAATATATGTGATCAAATCAGCATATACTATATTATTGCATTATATGTAGTGTTATATATGGGCTTTGAAAAACCCCAACAAAATGAAGTGCTGTCTTTTAGAAAAGATCCTCATAGAAGGACCTTGTGGTTAAGACTTCATGAAGTTTTGAGAGATTCACTTTTTAAAAATGAGATTCTGAAAAAGAAGGGAATTAAAGAAGGAATGACAAAATTATTCTATGGGAAATGTGAAAATCTAAGGAGCAAATCTACAAGTGCTACATGTAGGAATTCCTCAGCAGCAAAGACAATCCTCAGTTACCATGTTCCCTGGCCATTTTCAACTAACTAAACAGTGCAGAAGGAACATAATGGAAAGAAAATTAGGACCTTGGTTTTACCAGGACAGTAGCTCTCAGCAGTTGATGAATCTCACAGAATTGTAAGGAATTACTACAAAATGGCCCTATGTTCTTGTTGCTGGTGTGAGGAAGGTCCTCCAAAGTGTGAGTGAACGCGGTAGTTGTAATAGAATTTTATGTGTAGTTTCAAATTTCTACTGTAGACAGCCTCAAAGCAGACTCTTGGCTTTACAGCCATCAGTGGCACTGAAATCACTGCCTTTAGAGAGCTCAGGACTCAAGATTGTATCCTCCATCTCACTCAAACCTCTGTAACTATGATAAGGAACTGAGGGTTTTTTTCATTATTTGCTGTATTAGGCCCCTTAACTTTGAGTGATATACTGCATCCTATCCAATACACAGATACAGAATATTTAGGAAGCAATCTCATGTAATGCCATTATTTTATTTTAGAATTATTCTCTGATTGTAAAATGTTCAGATGAAATTCCATTTACCAAGCTTCATTAATCATTTTACTTTGGTAAATGTATTTTGCTCTGAGGGTTTTCAAAAGGTCAGTGCAACTCCTCTTTGTTGAAAATACAGCTAAAACAGCCAAGAAAAAGCCATATTCTTATTAAATAATTTAGAGTGAATTAACACTATTTGATTTTAAAGAATGTAATAGTTCCCTGAAGATTTAATTATCTTAAACTATAGCCTATAATTAAACTGTAAATTTCAATTACAGGTTTTTAAAAAGGAACTTCTAAACCCAGTGTTTCCATAATGTCATAGTATATCACAGCACTCTGGAGTACATGCATTCATACAGTGTAACTTCATTTTAAATTAAGGACATAAAAACTGGCAGATTTTTTAATGAATATGTGTTTCTGTAATAGCTTTTATTTCATTCATGTACCCATAAAAAAGGGAATGTTAGTACAGCAGTCTGTTTTATAGACCTGTGTATCCCTGTAGGCAGAGACAGCTTCCTTTCAAAAGCAGACTCACTTGAGAGCAATTCATAGTGTAGACAAAACTCATTTCCCACATTTTTACACAAAAGTAAATCAAGGTGTGAAGACAATGTCCTAAAACAACAGACTAAAGAGATGCCTATTTTAATTCATCAATTAGAGAAGATTGAGAGGAGCCTTCATAACACTTGTTTCTTTCATAGAAAGAAAATATCAGGCACTGACCTATGGTACAAAGTATAACAATAATGGTCAGACAATTTAAGTCAGTCAAATAAAAGTTGGAGATTAAGCACATACTGTCAACACAAGTTACTTTCCTGAACACACTACTAAGAAAAGCTGTGGTTTCTGCTTCTTCTTATATGTTCCCATTAAACCTGAATGCCTTTTCAAAAGTCTAAACCAAGCAATGAGGCTAAATAGAGGGTTAGCTTCAGTTCTGTATTCCATAACACAGAGATCAGGCTAGGTGACCTCCAGGCAGCTTGGCAAAAATCTGTGAGATTGCTCTTGAGTCAAGGGACCAAAATCCTTTAGAGATGAAAGTGTCCTAAAAAAGACAGAGAAGGGATCTGCTCCCAAGTAAATTAAATAGAGTTGTCAAGAGGGAAAGAAAAGCACTTCTCAGTAGTGTGCACTATAATATTTCAGTCCTGGTTTCCTCCATCTTGTCACTTCCAGAAAAGGTCAACACTGAAAAAAGAAAAGAAGACAGGATTAGAAGCAGCTGTTAAAATGAAAAGTTGTAGGATGTGATCTCTTGCAGGACAATTTTTTTCATTCTGAAAATAAAACCCAAACTGTCTGCTTGGAAATTGGTCAAAAGCTAAAACTGTGACATTTAAGTTTAGTTTGTCTTTCTATTTTTTTAATCTAAAATTAAAAAAAAAAAAAGAAAAACAAGAAATCTTTCCCTTTCCAACCCACTCCACTGTGGTATCAAAAAAAAAAAACAAACAAACAGCTAGACGTATGTAGCTTAATTATATAAGTAAAATATCTTAGAAACTCCATTCTATTTTAGATGACATCTATTTGACAATCACATAAGAGTCAACCTCATAGTACACAAATTGTCCCTTACAGAATCAGTCCCTGTTGTAGCTAAAATGGCTTCCATAGACATAATGTTTGAGAATTATTTTTACAATACACTTAAAATATTTATAAAACTTGCACAAAACTGTGTTTAGTTTTGACACAGGTAAACACCAGTTATCTCTCCCTGAGGACTAACTCTTACCACATACTGCCTACAAGAAAGAAGGGAGGGTGAGAAGTCCGATCCCAGCAATTAAGAAGGAACTGAGTAAAGGTTTCATGTTTCAAGCCACCAAATACGTGACAGTCTAAATAAACTTAGCCCTTGAGAAATCTACTATAGGGTATTCATTCACACTGTCCAAAAAGCAACTGTTTGTTCCACTGCCAGCCACCCACAGCAGCAGCCATGTTTATTTAAATGAAGAGGGTGCGGACCCAAGAGCTACATCTTTCCAAACCTTGCTGTAACAACCAAATGTTTGGACATTGCTGTCATACGTCTGAAATGTGTCTTATATTGGACAACCTTCTCAGCTCTCCTGGCCATGTTTTTAAGCTAAAGACTTACCCTGTGATTTTGCTGACCACTAACAGCAGGTTCTGGGAGGATTTTATTTTCTCTTTTCTTTTTTCTTTTTTTCTTTTTTTTTTTTTCTTTTTTCTTTTTTCTTTTCTTTTTTCTTTTTTCTTTTTTCTTTTTTCTTTTTTCTTTTCTTCTCTCTTCCTCTTTTCTCTTCTCTTTTCTTCTCTTTCTTGGTAGCTGGTTACTTTCAATATTAAAAAAAAACAGTTGAACTATATTTAAAACACCTAGTGCACATGATGTTTTTAGTCCTGAGAGGGGTCACAGAATCACAAGACCATGGGAAAATTCAGGGCAGAGGACTCAGGAGGTTGTCTGATACAGCCTGCTATTCAAAGCAGGATGAGGAATGAGGTCAGAAAAGGTTTTTTTGGGGCTTGATCCAGAAAGGTCGTTAAAACCCCCACAGACTGAGATGCATAAGCTGATGGTTGGATGACACAGTGCTCAGGAGTTGGAAATTACATTTCTTATTATGTCTGAAACAGCTGTTAAAATTTTCAAACTGCAGTTTACTTATGCCCAGTTGCAGTGCTTATACATTTTCATTTTAATTGACATTATGTAAACTACAACCAGATTGCTACTTTATTGACTGCAGGAATTTCTGTTGTCTTGTTTCCCCTTCTCTACTAAACAGAACTTTGGACAACAGGACACACAGTTTTTATGCATAGTACAAAACACAGAATGAGACTTGGTGTTAAGGAAGCAGAGGGTCCTCTCCCAGCAAGGTATGGCAGAACAATAATGTGCACACCCAGGTACAAAATATGTGATAGGCACCAGGCCAGGATTCAGTCCAACTGATCTTGTACATGGCCAGGCTGTTCCAAAAGTGGTTCTGAGAAACATGGATGTGTTGACATCAACTGAGTCAAGTCATGGTTTACTCCCTGACATGGACCACAAAGAAATTATAGATATAATTTATATAACTTAAAACGTTCTAGCCCTGGAGACATGCTCCCCAGCAAAGAGAAGGAAGAATGCTTGTAAGGGTATTTAAGGAATGTATAAAAATTATTGAAGACTGCAGAGGACTTTTCCATGCTAGTCAGAAAGAACAGTTTCCCTACAGCTATCTGAAGTGTAGGGTAAGATAAAAAGCAAGCCTCATAAAAAAACTGAGAGTTTGTAATGGGTGCATTGGCCTATTAGCTGAGAATTTTAAAGGCTAAATTTAAAAATATGTACCACTTTCCAAATCCTGAAGTGTTGTAGAGAGTGACAGTTGTTAAGTCATACACAAAATCTTCCTGGGATTAACAATTATAAAATAACCTGGAAAAATATCCCAGAGAGATATCCTGAGGTGGGCATGGACTTGGAGACAGTTTGCAAGAGGGAAAAGACAAGGGCTTTTCAAAGGCACCACCGCTCCACAGGAGGATAAGGCAGGCTTGCAGTGAGGTACCAGAGGCTCCCTGGTGCTGGTATCTCTGAGAGATGGCTGGCTTCCACAGCCAAAGAGAATTGCAGCAGTTTCTGTGCCCTGCCACCCTGCAGCACATCAGAGCTAAAAAAAGGCTTTTCATCTGCAGATAACCCAGCTGAGACAGCGTAAGCACTGCTGTACAAATATGTTCAGCATTTTAAAAGTTAGATTAATTTGGCCCACCTTCTTTTCACCTTCCCTTTTCCCCTCTTCACTTCTTTCTCTTCCTTTTCCTCTTTATTTCTCATTTGTTTTGTAATACACCTGTTGCATTTTTTTTTTAAGTTTTTATGTACATCCTCCAGGTGTAATAGCAACATTTGCAGAATAAAAAGCAGGTCAATTCTGTTATGAAAATGTTATAATTACCATGAATTTAGGCTTAGTTTGCAAGCATGGAGTGACAAATTTTGGTCAATGTTGTAAAAAATTGTTTTAGTAAAATGACAACACATTTACTCTTTTGAAATTCAACAATTTTTCAAATCACTGTCAAAGACATGTCTTTATTGTGTCAGGCTGCTTTGTTTCCTTTTGCTAGGCACACCTAGATACCAAACATTTGAGAATATTCAGACCCACATCTTCCTTAGACACCTGCTGGTAAAAATAAGTAGAGTCATCCTCTATTTCCCAAACCAGTCTAAGGGATATCATACTGTCACACACATTTTGAAACCTCCTAGATTGACTAGGAGAACACCTAGTGAATGCAAGAGACTGGCAATGATTAAGTACCTAATTCACAGGTTCTGACCTTGATTGGCATATCAGGTTCCTTGAGCATAAATAGCACATCATCCTGTCCTGCATGAGGGGTTCCACTCAGATTTCTGAGATCCCAGAAAAAATTATTTACTTAGTTACTGACAAGAGAAATATAATTTTCAGAATCTCTCACTTATTGTGCATAATTCCACATATCAACACTTCCAAAATTAAGTGAGGCTTTGCCAAGAGAAAATTTTTTAAAGTTTTACCATTAACTTTCACTACAGAGTTTACATTCAAAAAAGAAAACACTTTAGTGAGAGCTGCAGCATATTCTTTGGCAGTTCCAGGCTTTGACAAATCCAGCTACCAATCAACTTCCCAGGAACAAGACAACGCTATTGAGACAACCTCTGAGATACCAGAATATGTTATCTTCTTAATTCCATCTTTCATAACAGGATAATTCAGATTAATTTTGTTTTGCCACACATCTGAACAACCTCAACATTGCAGTATTATAATGCAGCACTCATGGGGTGGAAACTCTTGAATCATTCTAACCTGGCACTGGGCAGGTATAAAGACATGGTTTTGCAAGACTGAGCCACACAGCTGAAAGAGTAAGTGCAACAGGACTCTCCACTAGTAAAATGCCTTAAAAGCTAATGTTTCTATGGGTAGGTATGTGCACAGGGGGAGGTTAAGTATTTACTGGGGATTCAGAATAAAAAGCATTTCTTCTCAGAAAGACCATAAAGGTATAACACATCCATAGTATATAATTCCAATGTGGAACTCCTTGCCACAAGGAACATGAATACTGAATTTTACATAGATTCAGATGGCATAAATTCTTGTCTGACAAATGCTAGGGATTATTCGGAACAGAGGTACCACATCCTGCTCAGGAACAGCCTGAGTCACCAGTCAGTGTATTCAAACATTCAGAGACTATTCAGAAGATGTGTCACCTTATGTTTGATCCATACAAACCCTTCCCTCAGCACTTGCTATTCACTGCTGTGTGAGACACAGAACTGCAGGGAAGTGAACACTGGTCCAATAGACCATAGCTATTCCTCTGTTTTCATAAATCCACAGACAAAATAACTGCTCTTCATAGTAAGCACTCTAACATCCCTTAGTAGTCCATGGTGAAGTTTGTAAGCCATTAACCCAGAAAATACAGAACTAATCTACAAAGCTTGAGGGGAATCTACTTTTTTCCCCTAAGGATATTCATGATTTCTACACATAAGTTAAAAACAAAGAAGATTCCACAAAGCCCCAGTGCCTTGTCTTGCCTGAAGTTCAGCATTCACTGCAGTTACTAAATGCCACTGACATAGGAGAAATATGGGCCCAGGTTTCTATGCACAGATATGTGTTCTGAACAGAGGCCAGTTGTTTAATAGGAAATGTCCAGCATCATTACCACACCTATTTCCTTTAGAAAGACTACCTTTAAAGGAGCGAGTCTAGACATTAAGGTTACCTGTGCTTCCAATCTATACTTCCACTGGCTAATATAACACTAAAATTTAGGCAATACAAAGCCTAAGCTACTTCTCTGAATCTAGTTGAGTACTGCCATATAACCCAGAGGAGTACTTTGTAGAGGACACAATACACACCTTCCTTTCTTCCATTTGAAACCAATGCTGCTAATTGAGGAAAGTCCCAGGCTTTCTGCTGCCATGGCCAATGCCAAAAATTGAACAGCATGGAATGCTTCAGCTAACAAACAATAAGAAAAGCAGGCAGGATGGGTCTCCTCTCCCAGCATAAACCCCCAGGCAAGATTATCCATGGTGACAGGGAGCCCTGAGGCATTTGCAGCAGACAGAATATTTCCAGACAGATGAAAACACATTGTACTGCCAGAGCCACATAAGCCATTTCTGATTTGGTCAGCATCATCTTATGCATGATTAAGTAATGACTTTGTATTCAGCTTTGCAGTAGGAGAACTGCCCAGCTTAAGGCATCCTAATTATTTTCCTGTTTGATTGACTGCAATTTGCTCTCTTATGGGAAACCTGAGAAATGTTTTGCTTGGATGCATATGCATGTTTTTTCTTGTCCAAACAATCTGATACCTTAACTTTATATTCTTCTACTTTGTAAATTATCATTCTAAAATCTAATATCTTTGTTAGGCATTTACAACATTAAAATGCTGTATACTGTACTGTGTAAAAGAAGACTTAGACAAATCTTCACTCACTAAACTCTCTTTATGTTACCTTCAGTTATTTGAGAATAACCGGTGATTATTATATTGTGAATATGATCTGTATTTCTCTGCTCCTTTCTTTTGTTTATCTTGAAAAAAAACCAACATTTCAAAACTCAGATTCCTTAAAAAAGTATAAATAAATAAAGGCATCTTGTAATAGTAGTTTGTGAAAGACTGGAAATAATATGGGAACCCAGAAACAACTTTCTTGTTATATCCTATAAAACTTAATAGGTTGACAGAAGAGGTATTATCTGGCTCCATGAGGAAATACTACAATTTAAGTTAGCATCACTGATCTATTTTCCCTGGCCACTTTCTTCATCTTCTAAGCCACTTAGTATAAGTAGAGTTAATCAGTTTAAAATGCATTCCTACATCATCACATCTGTATCCTGTCTGCACTGTTGAATGAATATGAGAGCTTGCCCAAAAGTAGCCATGGCATTGAGGGAACAAGGCTGGATTTTCTCTTAAGACCCAGTGTTTCTTTTCCCGACAGGACTTCAGAGGAAAGAGAGCCATCTACTGCTCCATACAAGACATGCTGCACATGTCTTTTTGGAGGGATGATTTGAAATGTCAGGGTGGTGTTTAGAGAAGGAAATGGATGCACAGCTACATCCAGCCATGATAGTAACCAAGGCAAAAGTGTTTGAATGCAAACAACTGTCCTTTCTAGAAATAAAAATAAATGAAGTCTGAAAATACTTCAAATCCTCCACATCAGGAGGATGCATCACAAGTATGACACACTGGCAGAGCAGGCCAACAACCACCAGTGCCTGGTAGGTTGGACAGAGGCTCATCACACCACAACTACACACAGAGTCAGCCTCCAGGGTGTAAGGAATGGCATTCTTATCTGCTGTGACAAAGGTAAGTGCTCCTCACACACCCCTGAATCTGTATTCCTAAGTGTCACCTTTCACCTGTGGCACTGCAGCCTCACAGCTGCTTTTGGTGCACTGTGTCACTAAGATTCACTCCACGGTGAGGGCCTGCAAGATCAGAGAAGGAGGCAGCAAGGCAGAGGAATCTATTTCCTTTGTTAAGGCAGGGGGGTTTGGCACTATCCTGTACTGACAGTGTAGGTAGATTTAAAATACAACTTGCCTTAGGGAGAAGAAATAAGTAGCAAAAAAAAAGGAGACTTCTAGAAAAAACTTTGTCCATCATTCCAGGCTGTGCAGCCTTGCATCCTCCTTGTATTATGACAAGAGGAGTCTATGGGGAGCTTGGGGTTCAACCTGTGGATGGAAGTGATCACACTCATTATCCTGTGCATGCTGCACATAGTCCTGGCCCATACACCCCTACACTTCCTTCCTCATGGGCTGGGTGCTAGTGCACTGGGGCTCTGGGGGTATGTACAGAAATGCCAAGAAGAGTACAGCATGTGTGAAATGCAAAGCTGAAGTCTGAGTACTACAAACCAAATCACCACTTCTAATAAAACGATGCAAATTATGTCTGATACTTGTTCTGTCTTTTTGCTTTCTTCCCTCAATTTTGGCTGTAAGAATAGCTTCCAGGTTAGTTTGACTCACAGAAGACCCTCAGGCTAAATTTCAGAACCAGAACAGAAGCACTAATTTGCTTCATGTTTTCACATAGATGTAATACCGCATGATAAGCACACAGCCACAGCTGTTCTACTGATATTTGCAAACTCATATATCATATACCTTGTGTGAAATGATATAGCTGATTATGCTGCTGGGAATCTTTTACATTCCTCTATTTTTCAGTATGGGGAATTTCCCAGGCAGTTACTTACATGCCAGTAGGATGGCACAGGCTTCTAAGCAAAGGCAAAGCTTTCAGTGGATGACTGACAGCATTACCAAAATGACTCAGTCCTCAGCCCTGGTAAAGCTGATGAATGGACAAGGTGAGTGAAAGTGGCTCTCATGTAGGAAGGAGCCTGTAAAACTTAAGTATCTCCACTCTGTTGTTATCTTTGACTGAAAAACACTGATTCCAAGAGGAAAAGCTCTATTACATATCCCACAATGCTTATTAATCAGTATTGGTGCATTTTTACTCTTATTCAGTAATAGGACTGGAGCACCTTCTCTGTGAAGACAGGTTGAGAAAGTTGGGGCTGTTCACCTGGAGAAGGTTGTGTGGAGACCTCATAGAAACCTTCCAGTATCTGAAAGGGAAGCCAGAAAGGGACTCTGTCAGGAGCTGTACTAACAGGGCAAGGAGTAATGGGTATAAATTGACAGGGGAAATTTAGGTTATATAGTAGGAAGAAATTCTTTACTGTGAGGTTAATGAGACACTGGAACAGGTTGCCCAGGGTGGGTGTGGGTGCCCCAATCCTGGCAATGTTCCAGGCCAGGCTGGGTAAGGCCTCGAGAAACCTGACCTACTGAGAGGTGTCCCTGTCTATGGCAAGAGGTAGGGACAAAATGATCCGTAAAGTCCATTCCAACCCCTTCACATGCTATGATTTTAAAACCTCCTCCAGGAGTTGTGCACTGTACACACACACAGAGCAAAAAGACCACGCGCTGCAGATGCTGCAACGTATTGTTAAATGGCATTTGGGTGCTTACAGAGAGACCCAGCACCAGCAACTCGAGCCTTCCCTTCTCCGCCAGTGGCTGCCGCAGTGGCACCGAGAGGCCTCTCGCCTTCACTGAGGAGCAGCCGCTTGTGGTGAATCAGCCTAATCAGATTTCTCCTATTTTTCCCTCAGCATTCGGGACACCGCGCACAGCGACACCCGCCGCCCGCCCGTGGGCGCGTTCGTGCGGCCTCGTCAGCCAGCGCGAGGGAGCGGCCGAGGGCGGGCGCGGCCGCCCTCACTAAAGATGGCNGGCCGGGGGGTCGGTGCCGCCGTGCCGCTGCCGGGGTGACGGGGAGCAGCGGTGACGGCAAAAGCGGTGATGGGGAGCAGAGGTGACGGCAAAAGCGGTGATGGGGAGCAGCGGTGACGGCAAAAGCAGTGACGGGGAGCAGCGGTGACGAGCCCGGGGGCTGCGCCGCCTGCCCGCGCCGTTAGCGGCGTTCGGTGCCGGGGACGCGGCGATGCCCCGGGGTGCTGGATCAGGCACGGCCCCGAGTCCTGACAGCTCTGTCGGTGGCGGGGACAGGCGTGCAGCCCTGTCAGACGCCAGCCCTCGGATCGGTGTCGTTGCAGTAAAGACATTCCAGCCCAAATACTGGTCCAAATACTAAAAACTACCGCGGTCCGCCAAGATTGTGTCAAAATTTCATACGAAGGCAGAATTTCAGTTAAGACTAATTGCTTATTACAAGTATGGAGAGGCAGGAACTTGAAAGGATGCAGGAAGGTAGGAGATGAAGCTCAATTCATGGTCAGAGCTTAACAACAGAGCCCGCATGTTTACTTGTCTCTGCTGTTTTGCTTCCCGGAATGTACAACCTATAGACTAGAGTAAGATTTCTAATTTCTTTAGCGTGCCATGCAAAAATGCTCTAACCTACTTAACAAATGTGCAACTGCATCAAGGGGTGCTGCTAACAAAATGACTTTAAAATGATGACGGAAAGAGAGAAATTTGAGCTCAAGTCTTCCTAAAGCAATATGTCCTTAAGTTTGCACAATGCATCTGGCTCCAATTGGAGGTGGCTCACCTCACCCACAAAGCAAACTACTGCAGATGAGCAACTTCCTTTAAACTGCCGCGCAACTTGCAGCACAGACCTGTTCTTTAACTGCAATTTAATAATCTTGTTAAATTGTAGCTACAGTGCTTTAAAACATGTCCCTGAAATCAGAATTAGCTACAGACGTAGGACCAAAGACTGCTAGGCAAGGTAAGACCTTGAGCCTAACGCTTTAAACTTTGGTTAGCTGCTTTAAACTTTAGGGGGGTGAATGTCTGTGTCTCTGCAGCACTCTCCTGAAATGCACATGTAATCTTCTTGAGTCTTCTGTTCTGTTAACCTGAGCTAATATTCTTAGGTATTTCAAGTGCACATGATGGAATGACAGGGAACCAATATTTTAGTACCTGTTTGCTTCAGACTTCAATTCTACATGTTTGTTAGGTTTTTTTAATAAAATGTTTACAGTTAGGGAAAAAAAATCTAATACTACTGACCTTAAGTTCTTGCACATCTGTTTTGTGGAGCTTTTTCTCCATGCAAGTTGTATACCAGTAAGAGTCTTATAGAGGAAGAGTAATGACTGTATCAGTTAATCTGCATTTCCAGGGAAGGGTTATATCAGCATTGTGCTATTCAGTTTTCTGTTATTATTGTCTAACCCCAGCAACTACAAGAAGTGGAAGAGTTAAGCAGCTTTACCTGTCATTTTATTCACTATCATAAATTATAAGACTGTACATTTCTGTTTAAGGCAAATTGCTTTTTAAACAACAACAAAGAACAATGAAGCTGCTTGAGTAGGTTTTGTGTAGTAAGTTCTTCCTGTTCTCAGTGCCTGTTGTTTTTAATGTAAGCAATAAAATCTTGGCTGCTCTCCCTCATGTCATTTTAAAATCCAGGATGGCCTTTTCAAATGCTTCTGATGCAAAACTTGCAATTACCACAGGTCTGGAAGGGGTCTTAAATATTTGCACAGTAGCCTTGTTTATTATTTATTTATTAAATGAATACAGCAAGTTCAGCATCTCTGTGTCATTTTAACAACTTGTGCAGCCATAACGAACTTCACATAAAGTTGGGCAGGATTAGAGACTTCAATAATGGGAAACTTCTGTTAATTTCACAAAAAACAATCTTGCAGGAAGGCTGTGTTGATCTTCCCCTTGAAAAATAAAATTATATAGGCTCATTCCTTGTTTCAGGGAAGTTACTGGGAAGGGGAAGGACATCAGCTTGTCCACAGGACATGTCCTTTGTTTCTTTCTGCAGACCAGAAAATCCAGTGAAGTGACATACTGTAGTAGCAGATGAAGCTCTGGTCAGTCCTGTTCATAGATCCTGTTCTATTCATCATTTGAACTCTGAGCAATGGAAGAAGAGATCACTGTAGACTGATGTAAACTGGTGTAATATCTTCTGATCTCCAGCCTTCCCAGAGTTTCAGATATCCAGGCTATAAAACTTCCCATTAATAACGTAGCTAGCTCACAAGAGAGGAAACTCTACTCTGAAAATTCAGCAGATTGTTCAATTAGTTCCTCAACAATTTGACATTCCTGCTTGGTAGTTTCAGGGATTCCCAGTTCATAAAGAGTAGCTGCAGAGATTTAAACAGTTACAGCTCATTTCTGATCTGGATCTCCTGGCACTGATGAATGCTCTCTGCCAAATGCTGCTGTGTACTACTGTAGGCGATCAATAACTGTGTTGCAGTGCGTAGTCTGCTGTACGTGTATAAACAGCTGACACACTTAATGTCACGACACAGATTTTTTGCTGAATCTTAGGACTCATTTCCTTTGTTGTCTTGTGACTGACAAGAGGCAGTAAGGGCAGCTAGGAACCTGTTACTGTTTCACGGTACCACCACAGTGTTTGCCATTTCCCTTTCTGGTAGTTTTGGCAGCTGTCAGCAAATGCATATTCCCTTGTAAGCAAACTTATAGAAGGAAAATTTTTCCTAGAAAACAGTCTGAAGTAGCAATGGCTTTAGCACTACTTAAGGAGTATTTGTGTTTCTTGAACCATTATTGTGTGTATTTCCAGCTTCCCAGTAATTCTTTTTGGGTTTTTTTAAGTGTGAAATTCTGTCTTGAGTAAATATTACAATATTTTGGAGAGGACTTTTGAAACTCTGTTTCTAAATCTATTTCTACAGACCACACACTACCCCATTCTCTGCGGTCCCCACTCTAGTGTGGGTAGCTGCCTGTTGTCTAAACGAGGATTACATTTGCTTTGCACATCAGTATGAAAGTGAGGTTTTAAAATTTTTTTCAACCAGCCTCAGACTCTACCCCTATTGAATAAACCCCTTAAGAAGAAAAATTACCTTGTCTCCTTGCTAATTTTTTATCTTATCCAAAGATTTCTGAGAACCTTAGTAAAAACTGCTTATGAGTTGTTCTTATTCTCTTAGGTCTGTTAAACATTTTTCATTTGCTCTCGTTTCAGTCCCTGCATGCTGCTCAGCTCGCTACAATCTCGCAGTCCTGGCCTGTTTTGGGTTCTTCCTCCTGTATGCATTGCGTGTTAACCTCAGCGTCGCTCTGGTGGATATGGTAGAACCTAACACAAGCTTAGCAAAGAATGTGACTTCCAATGTGTGTCCAGAGCATTCTTCCACCATGAATGTTCCTCGCAACACAACGGTGAGGTCTCAGACCTGTTGTCTTGTAATGTGGCATGTCAAAGTGGTTTTAGAACTCTGTGATAGAAAGAACCGCATTTAGGTGGCAAGAGAACAGGCTGGTTTTGACTGGATGGCCTTTCCAGTGGTTCTTCAAAAGCTATTCTGGGAAGCATTAGCCTTAAATGACTAGCTGATTGAGAAGCACTGTGTTCAGGGTCAGCTATTGTACGTACCTCTTTTCTGTGCTATTCCTTAGAAACTGGCTAATTTGACCACGTAGATCTACCATGACTCACTGTTTTTTGTGCCACTTATTAATTCTTACCATTACATCTGCGTCAGAGTTCCCATCACTGTCCAATTTGCCAGTTCTTTGTACAGTCACAGTGGCATAAAATTTCATTACAAATTAACATGTAATATTTCTCTCTTCACTTCTTCGATCTCTTTCCCAGATCATGCATTTTGTCTTTATATCCTTTACCTCTCTCTTCCAGTAATCTTGAAAATCACATTTCTTAACTTCTGGATATGAAAAAACCCAAACTTCTAAAACAACCTCCAACTTTGTAAATTTGGTCTTGCACAGATTTTGTCTTGAAGTTATTCCTGAGCACTCTTGCCATCTTCCTGCTTTCATTTTATTTGCTTGTTTAGAGGTAATTTATTATTTATCACAAACAAATGGTGAACTTTATGGGAAGATTCTGTGTCATCATTTCTGGGAAATGTATGCTGCTCATTTAGATGCGGAAAAAATTGATCTTTTGGAAGTGATCCCAAATTTTAGAATCACTTTATTGGGCAACAGTTCCTGTCCTCTTGCTGACTTCCTTTATAGCTGCAGAGTCCTATCTCAATCATCTTCACTTTTATTGCATTGTTCACTAAACTAATCTTCCCTCTGTTGCGCTTCTCCCATTATTCCACCTATCCTTGTGAGCCCTGTCCTTGACTGCTCTCCTTCTTTATATTAAATTTAAGCACCTGCATCTCTTTATTTGGTTATTTTCCATGAATTTTCTGCAGGTAAAGCCATTTTATAGAGCAAGACAGAATATCCACTCTGTGATTCAGAAGTAGGATTTGTACTTTGGCAGACTTACATAGTCAGTACCTGTCACCTAATCCAGGCTACTTAGAATTCAAAAAGGGATAACAGCCAGAGCACTTGTATTTCATGTACTGATGATTTTCATACTTGAGTTAGATATGTCCAGATAGATTGTAAACTACCTGAATTAGCTTTTAACACAACTTTGATTGCAGTAAAGGTGGGTGTAGAGAAAGGAGACCCTAGGGAGTAGGTCACAAAAAATTTTAGATTTATCTATAATTGACTAAATAGTAGATCAGTGTAATAAAAAATATGGTCAGAGAAACTGCTGTCTTTAACACTTACTGCATTTTCTTGGGTTTTTCCCCCTCTTCTTAGGGAGAAAAGTATTCTTGGGATGCTGATACTCAGGGATGGATCCTTGGTTCTTTTTTCTATGGCTATATCATTACTCAGATTCCAGGAGGATATCTTGCAAGCAAAATTGGAGGCAAACTGTTGCTCGGGTTTGGCATCTTTGGTACCTCTGTGTTCACCTTGCTTACTCCCTTAGCTGCAAATCTGGGAGTTGGCTACCTCATAGCTGTCAGAGCCTTGGAAGGACTGGGAGAGGTAATCGTGTTTCTTCTATGTAATTTGAAAATATATCTAAATAATTAGTTTAAAATTGTTGTGATTAGACACTATGGGGGTTGTTATGCTGGAATAGGATATGGATTGTCTCATTTGAGTGGCTTAGTTTTATGGTTTTTAGAATAAAGAAAATGTTTGCACTATATTTTAGCCTAAGCTTTTCAACTAAGAAGTGTAAGGATACTTGAGACAAAATGATTCTCATTTTTCAGAAACCAAGGCCTTGAAACAGTGTTGTTTGTATTATTCCTGCTTTTCCAGTATATACAGAGTCAAAAGCAGGAGAAATTAATTCTGTCTCCTTATTTTCATGCCTTGCACAATTTTTATGAGTGATTTCTTGCTAGACAACAAACTAATAGATTGTACTACTGCTTTTTAATGGAACATGCTTTGAAACATGTAAAGTTGAAGCGAGTTCTAAAATTCTTGCATTTCAACAGAATGAAATGATGTTTTCTAGGGTGTTACCTTCCCAGCTATGCATTCAATGTGGTCTTCTTGGGCTCCTCCACTGGAACGCAGCAAGCTCCTTAGTATTTCATATGCAGGTGAGAAATTCCCACGCTGATAATGGGATTATAAATTTTTACTGCAGTAACGGGGAGGATTGACTTAAATCAAAGGGATTTATATTGTAAATTTTAATCAGCATTTAATCCAGAAAATGTAACATTAAAGTAAATCTTGGTTTCCATTAGTTTTCTTCATTTATTAATGGTTTTTATAACCTGACAAAGGTATTGATCTACAAATAAGTATAACCTTGGGTCTAACTTCAGTATAAAGTGGTGCAAATAATTACTGTGAAGCTGATTAATAGAAGATAATGTAAATAAAAAAAGATTTAGCATTAGGAACAAAAAAGCTGGGGCAGATACAGGATAGACTTGCTTGGTTGTTTTTTGGAGAGTTTTTTAACTGTTCTTGGAGGAGCTTGGAGAAGAAAGCACCCAAGGTCACATGTATTGCTGCAAGAGCTCCTTGTCAGAGTCAAATACTCTCTGACCAGATTGTCCTAGATATTCTGTGTCTGGAAGGTGTAATGTTTGATATCAGATTACTTCTTTGAAAATATTTGCTGTTACATGAGATTTTTGATTTAGTAGAGTGATACAGAATGTCCTGAAAGCACAGGACAAGTTAGCATTTAGCAAATGTAAGTTGACACTTAGCAAAATATTGCAATTGCAATACACTTCTTCAGTTTGTGTTGGCTGAAAGTCAAGTCTGTTGCTCTCTTAAACAAATTCTGTTGTTGTTTAACTTTTCTACTTTGTGTTTGACTGACCCACGTATCCATTCCCCTCATGCTAGTCTGGCTAAGTCAGTGAGACAATCACACTTTTGATGAGCTGAATGAGGAGAAACATTTACCACCAGCTGATCCACTCGACTGACATAGCTGCCTGTCTAAACCAAATCCACCCTCTGGTGCCATTTGTGTTGAGATAAAATCAGCTTCTTTGCAACAGCTGTGGTTGGTCACACCCAGTGTTATTCCCCGAATTTGATGGACATGTTATTCTTGCCCACCTCCACTGAGCCTTGCATTTTAGGGGTTTATTGGTCAGTCATATGGCTCAGTGCAGTATTTGAGGGGCAGGTGAAAAACATAGGTTTCTAAATTTGCTAGTCAAAATTAATGTTATTTCTCTGAGGATGACAAATTTTGTATTCAGTTGCAAGTAATGGTTTGTTTTGCTCACTCTTAATAGTAATAATTCTGTTTTTCATTTAACCTGTGATTTATCAAGAAGACAGGTGTATACCATGTAAACTTCAGCTACAGTTTCTTAAGGAGCTAAGACAACCTAGTGACTCACTTTTCCTGGAGGGATGAAGCCTTAACCCTTTTTCCTCACGTTTCCTCAATTTGCTCTGAAGCAAGTGTCTCATCACTCATCACTTTGAAGTGACCTTTCAAAGAGCTACTTCAACTCATCTAATGCATCAAAAAGCTTTTTTCTTTCTCTTTTTTAAAAATGTTTTCTGCCTTGATATTTAATTAAATCTACTTTTAAAAGAAGTCCTCATGTGAGACCCAGCACACAAGTTAAGCAGAGCATACAGAGTTGCTTTTGCCTTCTGCAGCATTTAGCAACTGGGAGCTTTTAAACTGTCCTTTTGTATTTTGTGAAAATATATGCTAATGTACTAGTGAGAAGAGTCTGTGGCCTTGAACAGCCTATTGTTAGCAGTCACATGAATAAGACATCTTGTGTAATCTTGGCAGGCTGTTTTCCTTCCTTTCCTTCCACGTTGTCAGTCATGTGGTCTGTAGTTAATTTAATTGTTGATTTTCTGAGAGAACATGTGGTTGAGGTTATATGTAGTTGTTATTTTGATTTATATTTTGCATGATGTATGTGGTTTTGCTGTTCATTGTTGGAGCTTTCTGCCTCAAATAAGAACTATTGTTTCCATGGAGATGGTGTCTAGGTAGCAAGAATATCAACATATTTTCTGAGTTGAGATTAAGTTTGCAGAAGTAATCATACAACTAACATTAAGTGACAAAACCTACTGTTTATCACCAGTAGAATGTTAAGTATGTAAATAAAATGGGTTTCTGGTTTAGATTTCAAAAGGGAAACACCTGCTGTGCTTATTGTCTGCTAAATGTACGTTGAATTATAAGCAAATGATTAGTTCTTTCTGGCTTTTGGCTTTATTCTGAATTCGAATCTGCTCATCTTTCCCTTCTTCCTTGATCCTAAACCCTGTCACATTCAAGAAACATGGAATTTGAACCTACTGGTTATATATGCATGACTTCTGCTTCATGTTTCTAGCATTCCTGGTTTTGTAGAGCTGGAATGAGATATGAGAAGTGCAAACTGACTATATTGTCACATTATACTCCCAAGGCCTGAATTATACTTTGTTCAGCCCTCTCTTGTTTTGCAGCAATACCAGTTGAATAATTTGCATTGATTTAGATGTGTTAGAGCCATCACTTTATTGGAGACAAATGTGCCAAGAATGCTTATCTTTTATTGTTTGTTGCTTCTAATTTTGGCTTCTTAGGGCTTTATGACTCTATTTGCTTGGAGCTGCCAAGGAAGCTAATTTTCTGTGTTTCTTTAAAGCAAAGCACAACCTTCTAGTGGTGGTGACAATCTTTATTCAGGATTAATTACATAAAAATAAATAAAATAACTCTGAAATGCCACTTATACTTAAGGGGTTCATAGAGAGATATAATTATTTTTCCACTTTGTTTTGCTTTCTTCTGGTAGGTGCACAGCTGGGAACTGTTGTGTCTCTGCCACTATCTGGTTTAATTTGTTACTATATGAACTGGGTTTATGTGTTCTACATATTTGGTGAGTTTTTGTTGTTTTGGTTTTTCTTAATTATTAAAAGTACAGTCCATATTCTTTTGAAAAGCATATATTATAGAACTCAGTTTAAGTTTTAAAAGTGTGTTTTACATGTTGTGTTAGTGTTTTATTCCTTCTGGGCAATTAAGAGATATTTAAGACTAAGTAGATTCCAGTGAATGGCTAAATAAGCCTTCTTCCAGTGAGCAAAGCTGTCTCTGAGTTGGACAAAAGCTGGTACAAGTCAAATGCTCTTAACTCTCCCACCACTTGAAAACAACAGGCTGAAATTTCTTATTTGAAGTGTGAAATTGAGTTAATAACTTTAATCCCAGGAATAAATCTCAATTTAGAATGAAAGAACGTGTGAAAAGTTATTGCTGCTTAAGATGTAAACTGTGGAAAATCTCTAGTAGTCACAGGGACCCTGAAGGAATGCATAGCATGTTTACTGTGATTTATATTGTGGAAGAAGCTGAAACAAAATAATTTTTTTAACAGCATGTCTTAGCTAATGCTTTTTACAGGTCTGTATATGTGTCTGAGCTATTTCATATTCTGCATGGGAAGGGGGAAACAGAATATAAGACAAGAGTTACATTTTCCTTAAAAGAAATCTCCAATTTTTCACAAATCACACAGATTCAAACCAAAAAAACTGAACAAAATTAAATAAGTTACAATGTTACAGGTACATAAGGGTGCAGGTGCAGTTAAATCAGAGCAATTATTGAAAAGTTACCTTGTTTCAAATAAAAATTCTGGGGTTGACTTAAGAAAGAAAAGGAGGAATAGTACGTCAATTAAGCTGCATGTAATTATACTTAATAATGCATATTCTGTATATGTGCACAGAGTATTTTTTGTGATTAAACTTAATGTGAACTTTTTTTTTCCTGAGGTGGCTTGTCCATGTGACTGATAAAAATAGAATTATGTATGAGCGTGCAGCTTTCTTGCTGTATGAAGAACTACAAGTAGAGGGAAGAAGTGAGGAAAAAAATGAAAAATTCTGCATAGTCATCTTCATTCTTTATTATATCTAAATGTGCAGTGTTAAGCCACTTTGGGGAACTAGTGTTTGTATTTAGATAGAAAAATAATATTCATTAAAATTACATTAGAGTATTAAGAAAATACTTCTGACTATATCATCTGAGAGTATTACTCAATAAAATTAGGGTTTTTTTAAATTTCTTTCTCTTCTATCTTTTCAAAATAGGTGCACTTGGTGTATTGTGGTGGTTCTTCTGGATGTTTTTGGTTAGTGATACACCAGAAACCCACAGGAGCATTTCACATGCTGAAAGAGAATATATACTGTCTTCCCTAAAAGATCAGGTACAGCACTTCAGTAGAGACCAACCTACTTAAGTCTGAACATGAACCACAAACATGGTCATTAATGTCAAACTTTCTTTATGGTTTGTTACATGTTATGTTATGCTTTGTTGTATGTTTATGTAAATATGTTTATGTTTAGAATAACATTCTTAACCTGAGATGGAGGCAGGATTTTTCAAACAAAAAAAAAATTTAAATAGTGCAGTTGTAAACTGAAAAACAATCAATAATCAAACAAAGCGTTTATAATAATGCCTTTTGTTACAGATGTTGTTGGGGTGCTTTATTTAAAAAGCTTTAAATTTAAAAAAAAAAAAAGCTCAAATCTGTCATTTTATACTAGATCCAGACCTGTATAATGTCTTTAACATCTGCAATACAATATTTTACAGCATTTCTCTTTCTCAGTGCATCATCTAGAGTAAGAAACAGATTCTTATTCACAGAGATAATGCTAATTTAGTTCCTGAAGTCTTCATAAGATTCATTCCTCTGACTAGGAGGATATATATTTACAAACAGTGCAGCTGGCTGAGAGACCAAAATTAATACCTAGGATTAAGCAGGAAAGGTTCAGCTAAATCAACACCTGAGAGGTGGCTAAATATTTAATTATTTATAATAAAAACAGAAGGCATCAAATTTCAACAAGGAAAGGCATACTTTTTGAATTACAAAAAGTAGTAATTGGTTTACTTTGGAATAGTAAACATCAGAGCAGTAGCTCTATGCTTCAGTATACCTTCATTGAGAACTGAAGACAGTAATTAATTCATTGCTGATGACTTGCATCAATCAACTGAGACTAATTTTGTGCCTTTCAGAATGGATCATAAGCATAGATTTGGTTAGCATCAAAAACACTGTATTTAGTAAATGTTCATATCAACATACTGATTTCCTTCTTTTTCTCTTCTCTTTGTCTCCTGCTTGCCAGCTTTCTACACAGAAATCTGTTCCCTGGAGACCTATGCTAGAGTCCCTTCCACTCTGGGCTATTGTTGTGGCACACTTCTCCTACAACTGGACTTTCTATACACTTCTTACACTCTTGCCCACATACATGAAGGAGATCCTGCGATTTGATGCACAGGAGGTGAGATACATAAAAATACAGTCATTTTCTTCTGAATTAAAGAAACTAAATCACCTACTGTTTAGAATAAAGTGTTTAAGAACCTTGGAATGTGAATGTACAACTGGGAAATTATAACCCCACACAGTTAAGCAGATGCATCAAAAATGTTTCCTGCCTTATAATTTCAACTTTCTTGACTTACTTAACATCTACCTTAGTGCTAGATTTCAAGTTAAATTTTCTGTGTGAAGATGCATTGTACCCATGCATCTTTTTAGCTGCTCTGCTTTAAAACAGTAACTATAAAAATATTTTCCCTGTTATATGGCTTCCATGATGATTTCAGATTTTACAAGTTTTATGGTTTCTGAAATAGTATCTACTTCTTTGCTACCTCATAAAGAAAAACATTTCTAGTTAAAAATAAAACTAAGAAAACCATTGGACAAGTGGCATTTTTGAAAGTATTTTAAGGATGGGGTCTGGGGGAGAAAGGGACTAGAGGGAAGCTTCTGATTGGATCACTTTCCAAATTGTCAATTTCTTTCCTCAGTGAGCAGCAGAGGTTAAATACCATTTCTTACTAGGGTAAGAAAAGTAGCTATGGAACAAAACCATAGTCTTAAGGTGCAGATATAGTGCTTTTCAAGGAAATTTTATAAAATTAAATTTTTTATCAGGGAATAATTAGGGGGTGGGGAAGATGGAATATTTTTATTTATAGCAATTACTTGACTGTACTGGTCTATCTTTAATGAAACAGTTTCGGTGATGGTATAGCTTACCTGGAGAAACTAGTATAGTTTATATTTTTAGCCAAGATAGAAAGGTGCTCGGAAATTGCAAGAAGTTTAACATAGTCTTTTCCTGGTTTAGCAAACAAAACTAGTTTAGAGCAATCTGTAGATGAATGCCATGCAAGAAAGAGGTGATGCCAGCAATATTGCGAGGAGCAGATGGGGAACCTCAGCACTAGAACAGAAGGTTGCATTAGGGCAAGCTGAAAAATAGCTGAAAAAAACTAACTGATGTTAGTGGTTGGACTCCTTATTATGCCTCTTCAGATATTTCCTGAAGAGGCATCAACATCTGTGAAAGTCATTTACTACCACAGCTCTCAGTTGTATGCATTTTGCAAAACACCATTGCATTAAATAGCAACAGGTTCTGCTGTGAAGTGGTTTATTTTATGTCTGGGTTATGTTTTTTTCTTTTTGGAGTGTCTTAGAATACTGACTGTTATGAACACCAAAAAAAACCCAAACTTGTGTAATAGTGCTGGACTAACTTTGTCACCACAGATTTAGATGGAAGTTGCATTACCTTTTAAAATATCATACAGTTGTTGCTGTTCAGTTTCCATTCTAAAATACAGAAATTAGTTACAAGTAATGCTGTGTCTTTGAATAGTGGTTCAAAATAAGTTTTTTGATTACTGAGACTGTCTCTATTTTTCAAAATTTTTCTTACTGTTTTTGAAAACTGAGCACTGAAATCCAACAGGTTAGAATAGATCGATGATAGATTCATAGAATGGACTCCAGGTGGGGATGTGTTTCTTATTTCATTTCAAATTCAAATTCCTAGGGAATCTTTCACTTCCTGACAAATATACATTTTATACTAGCGTATAAAGGTCATTTATACATATTTGTATATAAAGGTCATATATAAAGACATATTTCTATTCAAATACCCCTTTTTAGTCACAGAGAATGTCAAATTATAGCTCTGTTATCAGTAACTATCCATAATTTTTTGGAAAGGCTGTAAATGTAGGCAATTTTAGTCATAGCTTTTGTTTCCCATCATCAGAAAATCATGTGGAATCAGGCAGAAGTCTCTAAACAGCACATGTTTAAAGTAATGGGAATTGACAGGTGATTTCAGTATAAGTGATGTCAGATTCTGAATAACTCTGCTTTGGGATCATGGGATGTCCAGCCTAGAATTGATGAAAAGTCCTAGTTCTAGATTTTGTCTCTGTTTACAGCCAGCACCAGATGTTAGGAATAATGTAATGCAACAGTAGTACAAAACCGAGCGATTCTGTATAGTTTTTAAAATCCTGAATAATATTTTCAGCTCCCACTTATTTTAGTAACTCACTTGATATTGGTATCCTGAAAACTTCCACAATCCCGTTAATGCCTACAGGATACCTTCAGTTATAGTTTTCTTTTTCCTGAAGCTAGCTGCTGATCTAAACCTTTGAATTTTTGGTCTGGCAGCATTGGTAGTTATGGATTAAGTCATGATTGATTTGTCATTTTAGTGTTTTAACTGTCTTCTTTTGACCTCCTTAACAGAATGGATTTTTGTCTGCGCTGCCTTATTTTGGCTGCTGGTTATGTATAATTCTGTCTGGCCAAATTGCTGATTATTTACGGGAAAAACAGAACTTCTCTACTGTTTGTGTTCGCAAATGTTTTACCCTAATAGGTAGGTGCAAGTATCATCTCTTGGAACATGTAATCTTAGAATATATAATAATATCAGTTTGGGAAAAATTCAGGGCTTGGGAGAGTAGTCTGACATTCTGCTGTGAGATGAGGCAGCATTGTGCATGGCCTGAGAAGAGCAACTTTATTTGTACATTAATGTGTAAAGAACAAGTCACCATAAAAGGGTGACTAAAACACTGTTACCAAAAAAGGTTTATCAAACTGACAGGGTTATTGTTCTGCATGAGCCTATTCTGTTGCTCAGTGATTTGTCTAAGACTAAAGTAACTGAACAGGAATACACTTGCAAAATTTATAGTTGCTACCACAGTAGAAAGACCAAACAGAATCCAAAATAATCCTGATTAATTGGGAAGACAGATGATCTGAAATCACCCATAGATCAGCCAGATCAGGTTTTTAGTGCACACAAATAAAAGGCTGTATTTAGGAAAGAGAAGTTGATTGCTGAATGAAGAGGGGACAGAAGAAATAAATTGAAGGGAAAAAAAAAAAATAAAGAGGACTTCATCAACAAAAGCATGTACTTGGAGCTGTTTGCAGAGGTCATGATGGGGTCATGTAAATGGGCTCTGGTACTGGGAAATGGTTACCAAAGTTAACTGCAGATAGTGAGCAGTGTGCATGAGCTCATGATGGCTGATAAGCTTTTTCCAGTGCCTGATGCAGCATCTCTGCACCTATCTTGGATTCACCCAGGGTTCACAGTGTCAGTGTAACATCAATTTATTTATAGCAATAAATGAAACTAATTTGTGAGGTAATTTTCAGAATTGATTTTTGTTAATTTTTTTATCTAATTTGTTTTTTGCCGCTAGAGTGGGATTTTTCTGATCTAGTTTCTGTTTCCTAAGATAACAACAGTTTTTCAATCCACCTGCTCTTCCTTTTTAAAAGGACATATAGTAGTAGGACAAGGGGGAATGGCTTCAGACTGAAAGAGAATAGACTTGAATTAGATTATGGGAAGAAATGTATTAATGAGCGGGTGGCAAGGCACTGGCACAGGTTGCCTACAAGAAGCTGCAGCTGCCGCATCCTGGTTGGATGGGACTTTGACCAACCTGATCTAGGGGAAGGTGTCCCTGCCAGTGGCAGCGGGGCTGGAACTATATGATCTTTAATGTCCCTTGCACCCAAACCATTTCTGATCCCGCACCGTCCCACTGTGACGCGCGCGGTGCAGTGCCGATTCTGTACGCCAGGGGGCGGTGGAAGTTGTATGGAAAACACTCCGCTTGGAGCCTCCAAGTGTTCTTCGTGTTAAACGTCCATTGATTCTCAGGTTTCTGTCTTAAAGGAATGATTGGACCTGCGGTGTTCTTAGTAGCAGCCGGATTCATAGGCTGCAACTACACGCTGGCTGTTGCATTTGTGACCATATCAACAACACTAGGAGGATTTTGTACATCAGGCTACAGCATCAACCATCTGGACATAGCACCTTCGTAAGTATTGCTGAAGCTGTTGTTCGTGCATGTGAAATGTTTATGACCCCCTTTTTTTCTATTTGTGTTGTTGGGGTGCCTTGGAAATATAGCTGTGGAACATATGCTGTACAGACCTGGAGTGTAAACACTGACAATTACTTGGGTTTACAATATTAAGCACTGTATGTCCAAAAAGTGCAAGTTTGGCAGAGGATATGACATAAACAACAATTTAGAATCATTCCAGTTTTAATCCTGCAGTAATAGATTATATAATTCCTGTAGTTACAGACTGTAATTATAGACTTGATAGACTTTTGTCACGTTCTTAATTGGACAGTGTGTTTTGAACTGTACAACACAGTTAAGTTTTTCACTGTTTTCATCTTTTCCATTGGTGCTATCAACCTCTGGTATGAACATTACCATATTTAAGCACTGTGATATAGGAAAATTATTTGCATTTGGAAAACATTCTGTACACTGGAATCTAAATCTTGTTACAAGTAGTTGACTTTATTTGTCAGTAGGTGACAAAAGATATGTACAACGGCTCTTAAATGAATAATTTTCAAGAATAGAAAGTTGAGACTTCAGGCTGTAATTTATCCAGTCTGTTACAAATTCATAACTGTGCAGATTTGTCAATTTCACAAAGAGTGTGGATGTATGTATATTCTTCTAAAAGTGCACTGGTCAAGTGCTTTGCTTTGTCATTCATTTACCTATTTGTGGTAGCAGTTAGATGTGAACGTGGTCAATTGACTTTATGTCCAAAGAAAAGTGTATTTCTGTATTAATGTGTAAAATGAAAAGACTTTCTTCTTTCTTTAAAAGATTTTGAGAAGAAAAATATTTTGTAGAAATAATTACTATAAAAAAATTCTGATCATTTAGACAACTTATAGGAGACCTTGGGTCCCAACTGAAGACAGTGTTCAGGCTTTGGCAATTGAAATAGAATGGTGGTCACATCCACAATCATGGACAATTTTTGACTTAACAAATGGATATGAAATAATGGGAATCCAGTTAATCTTGGCAGGTGTGGTTAGGTAGTAAGCAAGAGGGGAGGTATCAGTGGCCTCCTATAAACAGCTTGTAATGCTGAATTGAATATGAAGGTAAAAAAAATAGTTTCTGTGGTGCACTTTGTTTTAAATCACATATAACTACAAACTTAGAAAATGTACTTAAAGCAGTTCTTCTGCGGTGTTATGGGACCATTATACAACTTCTGTTTCAAGCTTAGTTTTGCAGAACCACAACAGGTAGTTTCCAAAATATGTATTAAATGGTACTTGTGAGCACAATTTAACCTGTCCATGGAATGCGACAGAACTGTGACAGGAAAAAGGAAATCATGCAACTGCACTGTCACTTACACACAAAAAGAACTTCTCTATGTAGGCAATGGCTGAGGTTTCACAAACTAGGATGTTGTATGCTAACAATAATATAACAATAATTGTCTTCTAATTTTAGATACTTCGTTTTGCATTTCAAATATGTTTATTTCAAGAGTCAATTTGTTTATAACAGTATTCAAAGTATTTTAGGTGTTGAAAAAAAGTCACAAGAAGAAAATGATGTCAGTCATGTCACATGAGCTGCTGCTGATCCCTCTGACCAAACCCCACTCTCTTCTTCCAGCCCTTGATAAAGTCCTGCTTTTTCCCTTTGCATTTGCACCAGACAAGTTCCTCTAGCTCTTCTTCCCTCTCAGACAGGCAGAAGGGAGCACAATGAGTGCAAGAGGGGTAAGTGTCTTGCTGTGATAGTTCAGGGACTTTGGCCCAGCATTGCCTCTAGAGGAGAGTGGCTGCATTTGTGGGAAGACTTTCCTTGGTGATGTGGTCAGGGTGAGTGCTATTTTATTGAAATCAGTGATTTTCTATTCAGCACATGCATGCTTTACTTCAGGGTAGATCTGTTCAAATGGGGACAGAGATGGAAAAAAACACATCCTTGTAACAAAGGTCATATTAAAAAATTTCTGCAGATACCGAAATGCAAAGGACATCTGAGATAAGAAGAAAAAGAAGACTGTCTTCCCCCTCTCCCACACCTAATTTTTTGCAACTTGTCTGAACTTTGTTGGATAAAATGATCGAGGCAAAAATGCACAATCTCAAGGAAACACTTGACATAATTGTAGAAATCTAAAAACCAGGTCTGCATAAAATTGTGAAGGAAACCTCAATAAAAAGTTTACTCAGAGCTCAATATTTATTTTTCATAATTTATTGAAAGACATCAGAAAAAAAATTATTCAGAGCAGTTTCAAAATGCACAAATGCCCATTTAAATTGGTTAAAAGTATTCTGCCAAGAATAACAAATGGCCCCTTTTTGCTACTAAAACTTGCATTATATCAAAGAAATAATTATTATATTAACAGGAAAAAAGTAAATTAAAATACTAATGCTTAATTAACAGCAATATTTGCTATGTGCTTTTGGTTGCTAACATATATTTATTATGCCATTGGTGAATTGGATTGGGGAAGGGTTGAGGGAAGGAGGAGGCAAGATACTTCTTTTGAAGAATATGTATTATATTTTAGCTCTTTAAATCTACATTAGTACTCCTCTATTATTACAAATCTTAATATTGGTGTTACTGTGATCCCTGGTAATATTCATGTGGCTCTGTTGTACACTAAATACTTCACATAGGTATGTTTTTTTCACTCTTGATTTTACTGCTTGACTGGTCTGCAAGTTAATTTGGTATTTGGTTATCCTCACTATGCCATAAGGACATGACTAACAGCTCACTATTGGTTTTGCTCTGCAGACATGCCACTTTTTGCTTTCCCTTTTCATATGGGAGTTTTCACTGTGCTAGGGGAGTGTCATCACAGTTATCTGCATCAAACAGCGAGCACTATCAAGAATGCAACCTATGTCAGAAACACTGGGCATAAACAGAGGCATTTAGCCAGCAATTGGTTGCCAAAGATCTTTGTCGACCAGAGAAACTATTAAACTATGTTTAGTTTTAAAAGTGTCTGTTAGCAGTATTGTAGTGTTTAAACATGTTGAAGACAAAGTGCATTTGGTTCTACTTAAAGGCTTTAAACAGGGTTTTGTTTTATGTGCTTATTTTCCTAAGGGAAACTTTTACACTTTGACATTCAGCTTCATAAAGGCCTATTAATTCTAAACCACTTTTCAAGATAGGAGGACTGCATGCTAGGTTTATAAGAAATAAAGAGATTTTAACTAAAACATTGCCATGCTTTAAACTGATACGTAATGTAGAGTTTCAAGAAAAAAATCAACTAGTAGGCTAGATGATTGTTTCCCTTTCTCAGGAAAAAAACTACATGTTTTTCTAATATTGGAATAAATATTGCAATCTTTTGTAACAATGCTGTATGGTTGAATTCCCTGTTTTGGTAAATAAAATTTCAAAGCTATGCATTTCTCTTTAGAGATGAAATATGTTTCTGTTGTGTTAATGTTGGTGAGGACATAATTTTACTCTGAACAGCCAAAAATGATCACTGGGATATGATTCCTTTCTACTGTGGTAAAATGCAACTATTAGTATTTTGTATGATTCTTTGGCGAACAAGTCCACCTTGAAAATCTAAAACACAGGGATCTCTGCCCTGGTGGTTAGAAGGTCAAAGTTCTGTGGAACATTTGGCTCTTATTTCTCTTCGGTCTCTCTCACAAGTCTGCACTTGTGGTACAGTTTCAAACTTTCGGTATTGCAACATGCCTGTGAGAGAGATCTTGAATTGCTTGGAGATGAGGTGCTGAGACTCAGATATTAAGCAAGTTACCAGCTTTTCCCAGCAATTTTTTATGGCCGCTGGTGCATACACATACATTTGTGTGTGAGAGAGCAGCACGTTCATGGAACAGGAGGCCTCAGAATAGAGCTGCAGGAACAGCAACCAGCAAAACTGGTTTAGTCAGACCCATTTCCCATTGGCCTTGACCCACAGAAAGCTGAAAAGGACTGCTACAGCACTCTGAATGCCTATCTTTGGAATATACACTTTGTAATGTAAGTGGGAATATCTAGGCACACTGCTGATACTGCCTTCTTGGCAGACAAATTTTTAGCAATGAAACCTCAACCAGCTCTTACTGTTGGCAAACAGCACTTTGTCATACTCCTTGTTGTCTTTCTGCTTCAAGACATGCAATGTGTCTTTAACTGCTCCACTGGATCCATTCCAGATGGTTTGGTTATGGCTTAGCAAAGGGAATGTGAGCTTGGATTGTGGATCTTGATCAAAACCATAGGCAATTTCAATTAAATTCCATAACTAGCCTCTGAAAAATGGAGACATACAGAATAATTTAAATAGAAAAGGATCTTAGAGATCATCATGCCAAGCATTAACCTAACACTGCCAAGTCTACAGCAGTGTTAACACAGCACTAAACTCTGTCCCTTAAAATATATGTGCCAAGCTGTCAGTAAATTGTTATTAGAGGAAAAGCAAGTCATTTGCACTGGATTATTTGTGGTTTAATTTCTCGTTTGATCAAGATGAAGCCTACGTGATCAGGTTAGGCAAAATTGTTTCCATGATTGATAAAGCCTTACAAGTTAATAAGCAGTGTTAATGACTTCTCTTGCAGGTATGCTGGAATTCTCCTTGGGATCACAAATTCTTTTGCTACTATCCCAGGAATGGTGGGGCCAGTTATTGCCAAAAACCTCACTCATAATGTGAGTCTGTTTATTATTTTTTTCAGTTGTTATATTTTCATCTCAGTTGAATAGAAATTCCTTCTTCTCAAGCCTGCAGTCCTTAAATGAAAAATGGTTTACACCTGTAAGTCATATTGTTCCACTGTGGTGAATTACTTAATTCCTAGCTCTTATTGTCCTGATTCTGGTCAGGAAAATAAGAGTAAAACCAAAGACTTTTGTAAGACTTGAAAATTTTACTGACTCACCCCTTATATTTTCTAGGAATAGAATGAATATATTTTTATCACAGTAGAACTCTGATAAAATGCCAGCTAGATGAGACATTTGTGGTATTGTTCTATGAAATTAGAACAAGTTCTTGCTTGTTTTTCTTTAAATTAGGCTCTCACATGAGGTGTTGAGTTCTAATGTCAGCATTTGGCAGATAAGTGAGAAACTAGATTCTAGTGTTAGATTTGATTATCAAGGTTGTATAGTGATTTGGATAGGAAAAGGGAAGAGGAGTTTTGATTACTGTTTTTGAGGAGTGTTTGATTACTGTTTTTTCAATGAACATGTGAATTATTCTAAAGTCTTTCAAGAAAGGGAGGTGGAAGGAGCAAGCTTAGTGATACACTTGAATTTTCTGGAGTTGGAGGTGATTCTAAGGATTTCTTACAAATCACACAATCACAGAATATTCTGAATTGGAAGGGACTCACAAGGATATTCAAGTCCAGCTCTTAAGTAAATGGCCCATATGAGGATCAAACTCATGACCTTGGTGTTATTATCACCATGCTGTAACTAAAAACAATCAGAAAATATTCATTAATACATGATTCCAATAAAATTCATTCTTCCAGATACCTTAACAAGTAGGTTGTTTTAGGGTATTTTCTTTTTCAGTTTCGTTTTTTCCCCTCCATACTAATGTACTCTTCAGGTATTCTGTTTTCTTAGTAAGATCATTTACAGGTTTGTTACAGCATCATCTGGAAGTTAAAAAAAAGCCTAAACCTTTAAGGCGGCTATAGATATTATTTCTTTATTTGAAAAGAAAAAATAATAAACCAAAAAGCAGATAAATCACAGTTCTTTACACATTTATTAAGGCCTTTCTTAAATACCATAGTTTCGAGGATTACTCTTGAAATCTGAGTTAAGGTAGCTACCTTGTTTGGACCAAAAGGCTTGTGAATCTGGAATGTTCACATAAGTAGTCATTAGGAATATCTTACTGCACAGAGCAGGGCACTTCAGCTCTTAGGTCACCTGATCTGAAAGCCAAGGTAGAGTTTCCTTTACAGTAACATTCTCTGCATTTGTATCAGTGGTTCTGCATCTTGGGTGATAAACCGATCCAGATGGGTGATGCAGTTCTGATGAGACTTTCTGTGTAAGCTGTATTATAAAACTGAAGTTGATTACACTAATGATTTCATCCTTTATGTTTATAATGCTTTTATGTTGCTGTGAAATCATGCTGAATGGCATTTACATTTAAAGAGGCAAGGCATGTAGCATTGATTTTAAAATTACTTTTTCTTGAGTGTGAAGCTGCAAATTGACTGCATCTTTTTTTTTTTTCTTTCCCCCATTTGACAGAATACTGTGGGAGAATGGCAGATGGTTTTCTATATTGCTGGCTCTATTAATCTATTTGGAGCAATTTTCTTTGCATTATTTGCAAGTGGAGAAGTTCAGGACTGGGCAGTCAGTGGATATCACTTGCATAGAAACTGAAGGAGATGTTGAAATACCAAAGCTGTGCCGAGTCCCGTTGCGTTTAGAACTATGTGACCAGAAAAGTGCCTTCCCTGCTGATGCCTAGGAGTCTTCAGAGCTATTCAGTTAAACTACTTTATCTCTGTATCTTTTGTACTGAAAATAATCTGACAGACTATGTGTGTTATTTCCTAACAAGAAACTACTTGGATTAACTATAGAAATTTCATGCTAGGACTTGATATCAGATATATGATCAGAGACATTTTAAATAAGTGTACTAGGCTCTAATACTTTCCAGTTTTTAATTAATATATTCTGAATTAGTGTTTAGGCAGATGTTCACTGATACTAAAATGAGAGGAAAAAGTAAAGTGATTATGCGGCACTGTAAGGAGGAATGACATGCAAAGAGTTGTATCCAAAATGTGTTTTGATTTCCATTATGAAACTGGTAGTTTTTGCTGTTTAAAAAATTGTAGAAGAGCTCTACCTTCAAACAATATTTTACAGTGCTTTTATTTTGTCATTGTTTTAATGATGGCTAAAAAATGCATGTGATTTACTTCTATTTTATGCACAAGTTTTGAATATATAAACAGTCCCTGTTTCATGAATACAGCTTCACAACTAATACATAGCAACAAAGAAGTAAATGTACCATTGGAACTGAGAGAATAAACCACGTGTCCTCTGTGGTGCAGGTTTTTCAAATAGGCTTCATTTTTATTTCTCTCTGCAAAGAAGAAACAGTGCAGCTCAGTGGTTTAAATCTAGGCAGTGTACAAGAGGGAACTAGAAATAGAATATCTGCAAGATTACCTTAAAATACCTTTCAGTTTGGCAATTAATTTTTTTTTATCCCTTTAAATCAGTGCAATGGAATTCTTTCCTCTTGCATGTAGACATGTTTGTCAGCTTGTCAGTGTAAATGAAATAAGATAAGGCCAGTGCAGCAAATAATGAGGAAAATCAGTTCTCTAACAGCTTTGTTTGTTAGTCAGATAAAACTAGAGTATAAAAGACCTGGTGCAATAACCTGGTGCTGTTACTCTCCTATCAAGAGCATTCCTTGCACAACACACACTTAAATGCTACAGAGTAGGACTAAAAGTTATAAAAACAGTGGCCTTGTTAAGAACAAATGGCTGAATAACGTTAGAGCCACACAGCAAAGGAAAATTCCTGTGCCAAAGATTCCTGGATTGGAGCAATTAGGTAAAAAGGAAAAATCACTGGGCTCTGGGTTTTTCATTTACCACCAATCCAAAAGAAAAGCCCAGTACTAAAGCTGCTCCAGTGGAGCCTACCTTCCTTCATTTCTGGGAAATGGCATCTGCCTCTCCTTTTTAGCTTTAAGAGCCATTTTGTTTTGGCCTTCCTTGAAGTGTCATGTTCTCTGATGGTTGATTTAAACTGTGTTTAAATCTCTGTTTGTGTCCGCAGCATTTCCACAATAAACAATGTGTTTGATTAAATTAATACTTATTCAGTGGGAGTATGTTAAAACTATATTGTGTCTTCAGTGTTTCTACAATAAATGGATTGAATATTTATATGTGCATCTGTTGTTGAAAATCACTATCACCCTGAAGCTAGAAAAGCATTTTGAAAGTATGCTGAACAACAAGGTTGGTGACTAGATTAAGGAATGGTTAATGTTTTCTTGGAAAATTACCTTCCTCAGAAGTTTTTTGTCTGGCTTTACAGGTAAGTATTGTCTTCCACCTGACACTGTATTAAAGGTAATAGTTTCACTTTATGTAAAAATAAATTTGTACTCTTTCAGTATCTTTGGTTAAAAGGAGGGGGGAAAAAGGTTAAAAAAATAAAAGATTGAATATAATTTAAATTAATTTATGCCTTTGCTTTTCTGAAAGAGATTGTCATCAGGGCAACATATGGACAGGGTTGCAACTCCACCTGTTCTGAAGTTGGAAACTTCAGCTTCCTCTGCTTTTAGTCTTTTTCTTTCTATACTTTTAGTCTTTTTCCTTGAAAATTGTTCAGCTGAATATCAGTACTCAATGGAGTAGATGCAGTAGAAGTCTATGTAGACATTCTCTGTGCCAGTTCAATGAGTCTGAACTGGATTTAGTTAAAACTGAATTTTAGGCATATCAGCAGTTGAGCAGTCTAGAAAATTTTGGACCAGCATACTAGGTTTTCTTTTCCCTTCATCTAATGCACCATTATTAGTCATTCTGCATACTCTGTAACTTCTAAGTCAGCTTGGAATCCAGAACTGAAAAAATGCTATAGATCATTATATTATTTGTGGACAACAGGCTACACTAGCTGTATTAACTGAAGTTAATAAACAGCTATTTCTGACTTCATTTTTGAATTATATCAAAATATAGGGTGGGATTACTGATTCAGTGAGGCTTTTAACACTTAAGAAACAAGAATATTCCCAAAAGAAACCGTGTTATCTTCCTGTATCATGCTTGCGAAAAGGAAAATCTATTAGAAAAAGCTGTCAAAATATTTTCTGCTAATCACAATATTACTTTTATTGCTTTGCCACACTGCTGTTTGCATGGTTCTCTCAGCCACTTTCATTTGTTTGAAGACATTTTTCATATTCTCTTTTTTCAGGGGTAACAAGGGGTTTGAGTACCTCTTGTCTCAGTTCACCTGTGTGACACAAGATCTTGAAAGAAATTGGCCATTTTTTTTGGGGTGACTTTTCCTGAAACAATCCCATAACTGTTATTTCTTCTTGTATTTCCTTAACAGGTTAGAAGTACCAGACTAAGAAGTGGTGCTCTCTGTTCCATGAAGAGCTCTCTAATTAGGATGTCCACCTGGAATGAGGGAAGTCAGTTCAAAAACAGATTTCACCTATTTCACAGCAGGAGTTGAACCACTGTTTTGGGAACATGTCTTAGTGTCATCAGGTATTTTTAAGTGCTTTCTCTTCAATGTCTACTTCTGATACAGCTCCGCTTAATTTTTTTTTTTTTTTTTTTAACATTTAGTGCAAATTTCTATCAATATTAGAAAGAGAGATGGAATAACTTCTCAGAATACCCTACAGCATGTGACATGGGTATTGCCTGAGATCTGAATCATGGTCTCTTACAGCCTTCCTCATGCTTTGCAAAAGATGAAATGCCACTAAGTAATAGGTGTGGTTTTCAGTTCAATATTCCTTTGTTCTAAGGTTACAAAGCATCAGTCAAGTACCTTACAGAAGTCCAAAGTA